GTGTGCGGGTCTGCAGTTTGCGCCCGGTATTTCCAAAGCAATTACAGTCTCTATCATTGCAATGTATTTTTTAGACAACCGCGGAGGTTTCAGCGGGGGGCAGTCTGCCTTGAGGTTGCATCACTCAGCGGCGTATTGTCGCCTGAGGTCGATGGCCTATGCCTACTCCAGCGGGTTTTAACAGTCAAGAGACTGCTTCAAAGACGAAATCGTTGGGACGAAACAAAACAAAAACTGCCGTCGCGCCAAGCCTAAATCCGCACGCATGGCCGAGCAGCAACCGGAGAAAAATCGATCAGCCCGAGGCCAACATGCAAAGCCGTAACTTTAAACTTGCTGATCGATAAAGTCACTATTCGCTTCGACAAAGGAGAGTCGCCCCAGCTGTGTCACTAATCTTGGTGCTGACTGACATCGCTGCAACCGGCCCAGCTTGTCAGTTGGTCTCGAACAAGAAATTAAAAAGCGGAAATTTCTTGCTATTTATACATCAGAAATTGTAATTATTATTTATATCAATATTGAACTTGGAAATAAAAAGACAGTATAAATAAATATTAAATTTCAAAAATTTTCCAAACCTTGTCAACTAGCGCAAAGTTAGCCGAAACTCAGGACAAGTGTTACGTGATCCGAGATATTGGCTTTTAGTTAGTATCTGTGTTACCAGTATAGTAAATAATTCCATTAGTTATAATATTATCTGCCTGTTGGCAGCACGTGAATATTTCGTTGTTATCCCACAATGGCTGATGGTATTTGCTGTTGAAATGCAAAAATGTTATATGATGCCCCGCATCAATTTAATATGTCGAACAGGTCGCTGAGCGGAAGCCCATAATCAAGGCGTTCTAGCCTGGATTAATTACGCGAGATAATCTGCAAAGATAAATTTTTCTAGAGAAGAATGCTATAAATATAACTAGGTGGAGATCTTGAATTATGTACCGACGTAATGTACACCAAAAGAGACCGCTAGATATACAGCGGCGACTGGTTCATCTTTTGACCATTTATTACAAATACCTAAGATCAGCGCACAATATATTAAAAAGACTTAAAGGAATTTACGACGTCTGGCGTTTTCTGCGTTGATGCAGTCGTCATAAACTCATTGACGATATTTATTTCAGAATATGCATATTCTCAAACGCAAACGCAAACACAGAAACATTTTTTCGTCATTTACTGGTAGGTTGCTGAAGACGACTGGTCCAAATCTTATCGACAGTACGCTCTAAAGCAATGGGAGCCCCTCAATTTAAACATCAGTCAGAATCGCTACTTCAAGGTTAGATGAACCGTTGATTTTTAGGGGCTCCATTCGCCCGCGCGCAACCCATTTAAGTTACAAGGTTGCAGCAGTGAAGATCAGGGTGAGGGTTCGTCATTCTCGTCCACTGACTGAGCTCTGTAACGATTTTGTGAATTGAAAAATTGATCGAGTTTAGGGTGGTGGAAAGCCTGTAAACACCAATAAATGATCTGAAACAAAAATCACGAATTCTGAGGCTTTCTGCGTTGATGCTGTCTAATGAACTGAGTGCCGTTATTTCTGCCGGAGTTCGAACTGCCATAATATCTTTTTGATAATATGCTTTACATTTGATCGAGCAGTAGAAGCTCCTCGGTTTGTTTACTATGCGG